TTCTCTTTTCTTTAACTGTATATCACTTAAGCCAGAATGTTTTGCAAAATGATTTTTTAATTTAAATTGCTATATTTTGAAAATATATATAATAGGGTAGTATGAGACTAACATATATGTAAAATGTCAATGTGTTTTGCAGTCAGCAAATTGTGATTGATACTTTACACCAAACAGAACTGAAATAAGGATTCCAGTTCTACTTATGCAAGCCAATTTCCAAAACCCCACTTTAAATATTTTCCCATTTGATGGTCTTCTGTATGATATGCAACAAATAGGACTGTTGCTAAGTACAATGCATTTACTATTACATTTCCTCCTGTTCTAATGAATATTCAATATATTGAATATCACATAATGTATAAATGACAAGTTAACTGTGTGTTTATTGATTATTTCTGCATATAAAGTAGAACCAAATAAGTATTTTTTTGAACAACAAAATCATAACTGAGAGTTTTGGCAACAATATGGGAGCATTCAGTTTTATTTATTGTACTTGTTGCATTAATGCACAGTAAGATTTTGATTAATAACAAATATATTATTCATGGCTTGCTGTATAATTGCAATCTGATATACAGTCAAATAACATGGAAATCAATGGAGCTAATACATACATAGATATGTGCTAGATTGTGGCCTGTATCATTTGATGTATTCTTTTTGTTGTAAAGGATTTGAAAAGTATGAATGATGTATGTGTCAGTCCCCTGTTGAGAAGAATGTTCCCTTGCAACAAACTCAGGATCTCAGAATCTGGACTTCACTGTAGTCCTAGCTGTCAAGATCCACACATGAGCAACCTGATAGAATATAAACCTGCTGAATTTGGACATACTTAATACTACACATTTGCACAGCAAAATTAAGCCACAAATAAAGTTGTGACACACGATGATTTTGAGCCCTGCATATATATACAACATGTGCAAAACAGAAGACCCATCATATATGATTGCCATGTTTTAAACCTTGTTGTTTTATCTCTGTTGCTGTACTCCCTCCTCGATCCATTGAGAGAGGTGGGATATACAAATTTATTATTATTATTATTATTATTATTATTATTATTATTATTATTTTAAAATGCCAATTAAATTATAGATATAAATATCCTTCCCCAGTTGCTTGATAGACTAAAAAAGAATGTTAACACAAAGGGCTTAAAGCTGCTTTTGCTGAAATCCATTTGTAGTTGGAAATGAAAAATTTATATCAGCAAGAACGGGAGATCCGTTCTGGACACACATGCCTACGAAAATGGAAAAACGCAACTATTCGAGCTCCATTGAAAATAATGGCGGCATGCTCCCACATGCTCCATTTGTTCCTTCTTGCTTCCCATCTGTGGAAATTCAAACCCACAAACGGGAAGTCAGCAAATCCAGAGGGACAACTGTACTACATGTTACTCATTTCTGTTTTCTCCTTTGCATTTGCAATGACACATGTTCATATAAGTAACAGGGCAGTGTCCATTCAAAGATCATTTTAGCTTCTTATGTGCAAACTGTGATTTTACTAAAGAGTTATATACATCCATTAATCTTAAAATCTTCCATGATGAGCCTGTTAAATATTGGCCATGTATTACTGTGATTGTCTTTAACAGTTTCATCTTCGTTCAGAGAGATGCATGACAATTAGATATATAAATTCTCATAAGGGCTGGAATTCGCTTTATCAAATCAAGAAATATAATGAACCTAGTAGAAGAGATAATACATATATGATGTATGAATTCTGATGTACAAATATTAGAATACTGTGATGTCAAATGTCTCCTATTCCCAATCCAGTTTACTGTAATTTTTGGTAAAACTCAAGAGACAGTTTGAGCTCCCTCTGGTGGCTTGTTTAACTTCTTCACTGCAGAGAACATAATGTGACTTTTGTACAAGTGACTTTGGGAGTAAATAATCCTTGGCTCTAACGCATTGCACTCCAAAGCCTATTGATCCTTGTGGGATGAACTTTCAAATTACTATCCAGCTTGTAGTGAGCAGTGAGATACAAAGCACTACAACTCAATTGTTGTTTTATAGCACAAACGTTCCATTATTTAGAGAACAGTAGTGATGTTTGCTGGCTTACTTGTCAGTAGAGCAATGAATCTTCTGCAAGTTTTACTATTAACTGTAAAGGAGCTATCCAATATGCTAACTTCTATCCCCAAATTTGGTTCTGCACATTGGATAAGTTCAGGCTAATCCAATATGCTAACTTCTATCCCAAGTTTGTTTCTGCACATTGGATAAGTTCAGGCTAAAACCCAGAGCAGATCCCCCACTCCTCTGACATAGGAATGACCAATTGTCAATGTAGTTCAGTCAATCTGTATTAACTTCTCACACACATTAAAGTAGATATGAAAACATCAAGCTCAGGTTGAATGTTATGAAACTATGGGCTTTTGCAGACTGCCAGAAATAGTACAAATTGAGTCTACTTTAAGGGTTAGGGTTAGGGTTAGGGAATCATGGGAACTGTATTTTATTGTGGCACCAGAGCTCTCTGACAGAGAAGGCTCAATGTCTCAGGGAAAAAAACAATTCCCATGACTCCCTAGCACTAACCCTAACCCTTAAAGTGGACTCAATATGCACTATTTCTGGCAGTCTGCAAAGGCCCTACATATGTTTTAATGGGTGGATTTACTCTTCCTCTGAAATCAGGATCATAGCCTAGTATCAAGCCATCTGCTCAGTAAACAGAAAAGCCAAGCCTCAGTTCCCAACACTTTTAGGTAGGACTGGAGAAGACTCTTCTCTGAATCCCTAGAAAGCCATCAGTACTGATCTAGACAGACTTATTCAATATTAGGCTGCCTTCTGTGTTTTTCCTTAACATTAGAACATCAAAAACAATAAATCCAGCTGGATTTATTGGACAAAAATAATATTATAAAGAGATAACTAGGATGTTTATTGTTAGTGTATTTATGTTTGTATGTATGTTTGTATTGTTTCTTCTATGTATAAATATATAAAAAGGTAAAGGTTGTCAAGTCATGTCCGACCATAGGGGGCAGTGCTCATCTCCGTTACTAAGCCAAAGAGCCAGCATTGTCAGAGGATGTTATCACACGGGGAAAATCTATAGTTTATCCCACACAAATCCCCCCC